ATAAGAGGTTTATAAATAAGGAACTGGCAAGTTTCCTGTGTTAAGTGGTTTTTTTGTTTGTTTGTTTGTTTTGAGATGAAGCCTTGCTCTGTCCGTCAGGCTAGAGTGCAGAGGTGTGATCTTGGCTCACTGCAACCTCTGCCTCCTGATTCTTCAAGCGATTCTCCTGCCTCAGCCTTAGGAGTAGCTGAGATTATAGAAGTGTGCCACCATGCCACCATGCCCGGCTAATTTTTTTTTTTTTTTTTTTTTAGTAGAGACTGGGTTTTGCTATCTTGGCCAGGCTGCTCTCGAACTCCTGACCTCAAGTGATCCACCCTCCTTGGCCTCCCAAAGCACTGGGATTACAGGCATGAGCCACCACACCTGGCCTTTTGTGTTAAGTTTTATAAGTGTATTATTTGGGGGAAATTTTTTTTAAGATCTTGAAGCTTAGTTTTAAAAGGATTTGGGAACTCTTGACACTTCTTTGTTATATTGGTGTACAAAGACACACCAAAGTATTTCTTACATTTTAAAAAATGATGGAGTAAGTTTTATTCTGTCTGAACTGAGAGAGTTCATTTCTCATACCAGTTTTATGCACTCACATTTTAAGATAATATCTTCTCTTTATTTTCTTTATTTACAGTTCTTTAAGGAAAAACAGTAGTGCTCTGCACAGTTTACTGAAACGAGTGGTCAGCACATTTAGTAAGGACACAGGAGAGCTTGCATCTTCCTTTTTAGAATTTATGAGACAAATTCTTAACTCTGACACAATTGTAAGTATGTGTGTGTTTGTGTATGTATTTGGTGTTTCTTAAATTTGAAATCTTTGGCCAGTTACAGTGGCTCACACCTGTAATCTCAGCACTTTGGTGGGCTGAGATGGGAGGATCTCTTGGGGCTAGGAGTTTGAGATCAGTCTGGGCGAAATAGTGAGACCCTGTCTCGAAAAAAAGACAAATACTTTGCCATAAGTTAAATCGCTTTATAGATCAAATATCCAACATAAAAAGGATCACTTTATTTTATCTTATTTTTTAATTTTTATTTTTTAGATGAAATCTCACTCTCTCACCCAGACTGGAGTGCAGTAGTGCAGTCTTGGCTCACTGCAACCTCCGTGTACTGGGTTCAAGCAATTCTCCTGCCTCAACCTCCTGAGTAGCTGGGATTACAGGTACCTGCCACCATGCCTGGCTAATTTTTTGTATCTTTTTAGTAGAGATGTAGAGATAGGGTTTCACCATGCTGGCCAGGCTGGTCTTGAACTCCTGACCTTAGGTGATCTGCCCACCTTGGCCCCCCAAAGTGCTGGGATTATAGGCATGAGCTACTGCATCTGGCCAAGTACCTTCATTTAAAAATAATTTTTAGATGAGTGTGCTGGCTCGTGCCTCTAATCCCATCACTTTGGGAGGGTGTGATGGGAGGATCGCTTGAGCCCAAGAGTTTGAGATCAATCTGTACAACACAGCAAAACCCTGTCTCTAGAGACAACAAAAATTAGCCAGACGTGTTGTACCTACCAGTAGTCCCATCTACTTGAGAGGCTGAGATTGGAGGATAGCTTGAGCCCAGGAATTCAGGGCTGCAGTGAGCAGTGATTGTGTCACTGTACTCTAGTCTGGGTGACAGAGCAAGACCCTGTTTCAAAAGAAAAAAAATTCATGACATTGAGTTCCCTTGCTAGGGTAACTCAGAATAGTGAAGTTTTAGTAGACGCTTAAGTATTTACTTATTTTTGTTACTTAATTTACTGATTGTTTTGGATGTTGTGATTTTGGGGTAACTATAAAGTTTATTATGCTTTGGTAGTTTTGATCTATCATACATATGTGAATTAAAGATTATATTCCCTACTCTAAAATCTTAATTGTTAAAATTTAAATAAGATTTCTCGCTGGGTGCAGTGACTCATTCCTGTAATCCCAGCACTTTGGGAGGCTGAGGCGGATGGATCACTTGAGTTCAGGAGTTTGAGACCAGCCTGGCCAACATAGTGAAGCTTCATCTCTACTAAAAATACAAAATATTAGCTGGGTGTGGTGGCAGGCGCCTGTAATCCCAGCTACTCTGGAGGCTGAGGCAGGAGAATCGCTTGAACCCGAGAAGCAGAGGTTGTGGTGAGCCGAGATTGTGCCATTGCACTCCAGCCTGGGCAACAGAGATAGACTTCATCTCAAAAAAAAAAAAAAGATTTCTCTCATTAGTATTTTCCAAAGTCATGGAGTATTATGAGCACAATTCCAGAAGCCATTAATATGCCTGCCCTACTTGGTTTGGTGGCCTGCACCTCTAGTCCCAGCTACTCAGGAGGCTGAGGCGGGGAAATCCCTTGAACCTATGAGTTTAAGGTTGCAATGAGCTATGATTGTGCCAGTATATTTCAGCCTGGGTGAAAGAGTGAGACTCTTTCTCTCGCTCTCTCTCTTTGAGACGAGGTCTCATTCTGTCGCTCAGGCTGGAGTGCAGTGGTGTGATCATGACTCACTGCAGCCATGACTTCCTCAGGCTCAGGTGATCCTTCCACCTTGGCCTCCTGAGTAGCTGGGACTGTAGATGTGCACTACCACACCCAGCTAATTTTTGTATTTTTAGTAGAGATGGGATTTTGCCATGTTGCCCAGGCTGGTCTTGAACTCCTGGCCTTAAGCAATCCACCTGCCTCAGCCTCCAAAAAAGATTACAGGAATGAGTCACCATGCCTGACCAACTCTGTCTCTTAAAATAAGAAAAATGGGCTGGGTGTGGTGGCTCACTCCTGTAATCTCAGGACTTTTGGAGGCTGAGGCGGGTGGATTTCTTGAGCCTAGGAGTTCAAGACCAGCCTCGGCAACATGGCAAAATCCTGTCTCTACTAAAAATACAAAAATTAGCCAGGTGTGGTGGTGCATATCTACAGTCTTAGCTACTCAGGAGAGACTGTAGATGTGCACCACCACACCTGGCTAATTTTTGTACTTTTTTTTTACAAAATTAAACTAAATTTGAGGTTGGGAGTTCAAAACCAGCTTGGCCAACATAGTGAAACCTCATCTCTACTAAAAATACAAAAAAATTAGTCAAGCGTGATGGAAGCATGTGATCCCAGGAGGCTGAGACAGGAGAATTGCTTGAGCCCAAGAGGTGGAGTTTGCAGTGAAATCGCGCCATTGCACTCCAGCCTGGGCAACAGAGCGAGACTCTGTCTGAAAAAAAAAAAAGTCAGGCCCTGAGGTGGCTCACACCTGTAATCTCAGCATTTTGGGAGGTTGAGGTGGTGGGAGGATTGCTTGAGCCCAGGATTTGAGATCAGCCTAGATAACATTGTGAAACCCCCAAATGTATGAAAAATTTTACAAGTAGTTGGACATGTTGGCACGTGCTCGTAGTCACTCCCAGGTACTTGAGAGGATGAGATGAGAGGATCACTTGAACGTGGGGAGGTCAAGGCTGCAGTGAGCTATGATTGTGCCACTGCACTGCAGCCTGGGAGACATAGCGAAACCCTGTCTCAACAACAACAAAAAAACAAGGCTAAAGATTTTATACATGCCGGGCGCGGTGGCTCAAGCCTGTAATCCCAGCACTTTGGGAGGCCAAGGCGGGTGGATCACGAGGTCAAGAGATCGAGACCATCCTGGTCAATGTGATGAAACCCTGTCTCTACTAAAAATACAAAAAATTAGCTGGGCATGGTGGCGCGTGCCTGTAATCCCAGCTACTCAGGAGGCTGAGGCAGGAGAATTGCTTGAACCCAGGAGGCGGAGGTTGCGGTGAGCCAAGATCGCGCCAGTGCACTCCAGCCTGGGTAACAAGAGCGAAACTCTGTCTCAAAAAAAAAAAAAAGATTTTATACAATATTTAGGTAGGTATATGGCTTTCTACCATAAGTATATGGGACAATATGGATGGTTTTCTTGTCATGAAGCAGGATATAATTTCTGTTATAGAAATGTTATCACTCCAGAATTCACTTTATTATATAGCATACTTTCTTAAAGCAGAAAATAGTAACTTTTGTATTGACAGAATGTAGTCTTAAATATGATAGTTACTGTTTTCTGTAGTTGTTTGTGTTATCTTCAGAAAGATAATTTCAGGTTTCATCAGTTCTTTGTTATAACAAGCATTTTATTAACTCTTGAGCATCAACCAGTATGTGACATGTCCTACAAGTGCCACTGTATTTGCCATTGGGTATTTTGTTGAGAAATCTTGGTGCCAGTAAATATTTTGTGAGTGTTGCTTGAAGACTATTTAAATATTTTGTGAGTCTTATTTGAAGAAAACATTCTTGACCTTTGATCTGACTAAATCCTTCTTAAAACTAGCCATTTGTACTGATGTAAAAATCAAAAAATGAAGGAAAGATTGCAGCATATGGCTTAAATATTATGAATAAGTGTGATGCATCTTTGTAAATTTCTCTGCTCTCAAATTTAACTTATATGTAACATTTACAGGGATGTTGTGGAGATGATAATGGTCTCATGGAAGTAGAGGGAGCTCATCCATCACGGACAATGAGTATTAATGCTGCAGAGTTAAAACAGCTTCTACAAAGCAAAGAAGAAAGTCCAGAAAATTTGTTCCTTGAACTAGAGAAGCTTGTTTTGGTAAAAAAGAAAAACAAAAATAGAGCATTCCTGAGGCTTATTTTCCTCTCAGTTTGACTAGTTTAAAAAATACTAAGCCTTTATTTGGTTATTTGTGCCATTTCAAATAATTGTTTGAATTAATAATTTGAAGTGAAGTCCTCTATCCTGTTAGGAATTTTAAGGAGTAAATGTAGACAGTACTTTTTGAATTGTCTGTTGCTTGGATGCAGGGTACCCTCTGCTGCTATTGTTTAGAAATAAAATGACAAATGTTTTGGTGTTTTATTGTAATGTTTAATGTGAAGTTAATAATTTTGACAGTGTTCCAAATTTGTTAGTAATAAAATATACATCCTTTTCTACTAAAGAGTCAGTGGGTTTACAGACGTAAGTTTTATCTGCATCTTCTTATTCTGCTTTTATTTGTATCTAGGAGCATTCAAAAGATGACGACAATCTGGATTCTTTGTTGGACAATGTAGTTGGACTTAAGCAGATGCTGGAGTCATCAGGTGACCCTTTACCTCTCAGTGACCAGGATGTAGAACCAGTACTTTCAGCTCCAGAATCTCTTCAGAATCTGTTTAACAATAGGTAAAATACACAATGTTTTATGATTCAGTAGATACTGTTTTTATGATGGCTGTAGTCTGCGGGTGGGCAGCAAACTTTTTTTCTTTCTTTCTTTCTTTCTTTTTTTTTGAGACGGAGTTTCGCTCTTGTTACCCAGGCTGGAGTGCAATGGCGCGATCTCAGCTCACCGCAACCTCCGCCTCCTGGGTTCAGGCAATTCTCCTGCCTCAGCCTCCTGAGTAGCTGAGATTACAGGCACACGCCACCATGTCCAGCTAATTTTTTGTATTTTTAGTAGAGACGGGGTTTCACCGTGTTGACCAGGATGGTCTCGATCTCTTGACCTCATGATCCACCCGCCTCGGCCTCCCAAAGTGCTGGGATTACAGGCTCGAGCCACCGCACCCAGCAGCAAACATTTTTTTCTATAAAGGCCAGATAGTAAGAATTCTAGGCTTTGCAGATCACATACAGCCTCTGTTGTGTATTCTTCTGTAATTTGTTTGTTTTTTAATTTATACAGACCATGCTAACTTGCAGGCTGTATAGAAACAGCCTGGCAGATAAAATCGGGGCTTTGTTTTATTTTACTGAAAGGTCAAAACTTGTTATAGCAGGATTAGTTTCAAGTTACTTGTTTTTAAAGATACTTAATTCTTCAGTTGCTTTTTGGAGTTTTTGGTTTTTTTTTTAGGTGCTACTTTTAGTAATACTTCAGAAAGTAATTTAACTGTACCATAGATTTTACTTGAAGATAAGCTAAAAGACTGGGCATGTTGGTTCACGACTGTAATCCTAGCACTTGGGAAGGCTGAGGTAGGAAGATAGCTTGAGCTCAGGACTTTGAGACTAGTCTGAGCAACATAGGGAGACCCTATCTCTACAATTTTTTTTTTTAGTTCTCTGGGTGTGGTGGTGCACACCTGTGGTTCCCGCTACTGAGGAAGCTAAGGTGGGAGGATCACTTGAGCCCAGGAGATCCAGGCTGCAGTGAGCTGTGATTGTGCTACTGCACTCCGGCTGGGTAATAGAGCAAGACTCTGTCTCAAAAAAAAAAAAAAAAAAAAATATTTGATTTTGGAATTGTGCTTTTCACCATATACTTTTTTTGTTCCAGGACTGCCTATGTGCTTGCTGATGTCATGGATGATCAGTTGAAATCTATGTGGTTCACTCCATTTCAGGCTGAAGAGATTGATACAGATCTGGATTTGGTATAAATTATTTTATTACTAAATATTTAGAAAAATGTTTTTTCTGTTTCTTTGTATATTGTTAGCATTATAATAGTTTCCATATTTTATGGCTGTTGGAGGACTGTTATGGACTTGGAGGCCAGTCCTATGTAATTTTTATGCCACTTGCCCACTTTATGGCATCCAGAAAGTTTTCTTCTGCTCCTTTTTTGCTTTTTTCTAGTTAGTGATCTGTATTTTGAGATTGTTAATAGATAAGGTCTCACTATGTTACCCAGCTGGTCTCAAACTCCTAGTCTCAAATAATTATCTCTCTTTGGCTTCCCAAAATGATGGGATTACAGGCATGAGCCAGCACATTTGGCCAGAAAATGTGACTTTTTAAGGCAAAATCACACTTTTGCATAAGTTCTATGAAGCATTTTGTTTTCTTAGGGTATAGAACAGAGAAAAGTTTCCCACAAAACAACAGTTTATTCTTGCATTTGGGTTTAAGGAGAGGAGTGGTTGTGCTATGGTGTGGCTATCAGTTTAGAAACTTACAAAGAATATATTTGTTATAATATAGTATGAATGGAAATTGACATTGTTAAACATAATGCTGAATAGATAAAAGTATAATTAGCTATTTAAAATTTAATGCAGTCTGTTTTACCCTTCCCAGAGATGTAGTAGGGAGAATTATTTTAGCCACATCTTATTATAATGTATATGGTTCGTTTTCTTTATCCAAGAAACATATTGGTATTCATCATGTGCAGTAAAACCAAAAGAATGATTTGCTTCACATTTGTACTTAGTGTATTGAGGGCTGCTTTTCCTTTTTTAAAAAAACCACATGCAATTCAATTAAAAGTACATTAAAAATTAATTTCTTTTTAGGGCAAGCAGTTCAGTGATTCTTTAAAACTCTTCTCCAGTAGAATTCTATGCAGTAATGCAAATATTTTGTAGTCTGCCCTGTCCAGTACAGTAGCCTTGTGTGCTCGTTGTACAACTGAAATGTGGATGATGAGGGAACTGAATTTTATTTCGATTTAATTTTGATTAAATTTAGATAGGCACATGTAGTTAGTGGCTACCATGTTGGGCAGCACAGGTATAAAATATTTCTCTTACGAGTTACTAATTTTAGAACTTTAAGTTGAATCACAACTGTTTTTTTTTTTTTTTGAGACGGAGTTTCGCTGTTGTTACCCAGACTGGAGTGCAATGGCATGATCTCGGCTCACCGCAACCTCTGCCTCCTGGGTTCAAGCAATTCTCCTGCCTCAGCCTCCTGAGTAGCTGGGACTACAGGAGCACACCACCATGACCAGCTAATTTTTGTATTTTTAGTAGAGATGGGGTTTCACCTTGTTGAGCTGGATGGTCTCGATCCTTTGACCTTGTGATCCACCCACCTCTGCCTCCCAAAGTGCTGGGTTTATAGGCGTGAGCCAGCACGCCCGGCCACAACTGTCTTGTGATGATAATTGTAACCCTCTGGATTAGAGAAATTTTAGGTATCTTATATTTGATAAATTCGAATAAAACCTAAGTGAACTGAATTTTGATTTCCCTGAAATTAAACTTACATGGGAACTTCATTAAATGCATAGAGCTTTTGGGAATCTGTGGCACAGAATTTTTTTTGTAATAGAACTGTTGACTATATAAGGCTGGCAGATTATGTTATTTTCAGATTCTTTTTTTTTTTTTTTTTTTTTGGAAACGTTCAGGAGCTATTACAGTGTTAATTTATATAAACAAATGTTGAATTTCCTGCTCAGGCATCAAAGGTCTCCTAGATTAATAACCCTGCTTTGAAGAATGCCACACACAAAAAAAGTAGCATTACTAAGGTGTGTGTGTGTGTGTGTGTGTGTGTGTTTAAACTACCAATACCATTTGATTTTTGAAAAGATGAGGGAAAGAGTTAGATCTATAATTTATTTCTAAGGAGGGGCAAATATAATTTATAATTATAAGAATTTCTGTAGTCAAATGTTATGCTAATCATTACATTTAAGATATATTTTGTTTTATTATCACTGTAGGTAAAGGTTGACTTAATTGAGCTGTCTGAAAAATGCTGTAGTGACTTTGATTTGCACTCAGAATTAGAGCGCTCATTTTTGTCAGAACCATCATCTCCAGGAAGAACCAAGACTACTAAAGGATTCAAACTTGGGAAGCACAAGCATGAGACCTTTATAACTTCAAGGTAAAATTTATTCCACTAGGTGAAAGCAAACAGAACACACTGCCATGTGTGTACCTATGCAACTGTATTGCATGCTCTGCACATGTACCCCAAAACCTAAAATGCAATAAAAAAAATAAGAAAAAAAAAATTTATTCCACTGAAGATCTCAGTTGTGATTATACAAGCTTATTTATTTTAGTGTATTTTAAGATAGACACATGCTATTAAACTAGAAAGGAAGTTAACAAAGCATTTGAATCATGAACATTGCTTAAATTTTTTAATTTAAAGATAATAATTTGGTCAGGATATACCCAGTACATTTGTTATATTGTTTTTTATGAGATTTTGGAAAGTTTGAATAAGAAGTGAACTGGATTATTTTAAAACATCGTTACTCATATCAATGAAATGTGAGTACCTTTCTTACCTAGTTTGTTTTATTATCTCAGAAGTACGAGAGATACTTGCAAAGTTAATAGAATTAGAGTACAAAAAATTTGAAAAATAATTTTGAGTATTATAGATTATTTTTGCTAGAAATCTGAAAAAAGAAAATGTTTTATGCATGTTTTTGTTTTAATAGTGGAAAATCTGAATACATTGAACCTGCCAAACGAGCTCATGTTGTGCCACCACCAAGAGGAAGGGGTAGGGGAGGATTTGGACAGGGTATACGGCCTCATGATATTTTTCGTCAGCGAAAACAGAACACAAGTAGACCACCATCTATGCATGTGGATGACTTTGTTGCTGCTGAAAGTAAAGAAGTAGTTCCTCAAGATGGAATACCTCCACCAAAACGGCCACTCAAAGTGTCACAGAAGATTTCTTCCCGTGGTGGGTTTTCAGGCAATAGAGGAGGACGGGGTGCTTTCCACAGTCAGAATAGGTTTTTCACACCACCTGCTTCAAAAGGTAACTAATTAGTATGTATTTTCTAATGGGTTAGAATATTGGAATGTTAAAATAATGAATGAAAGTGATGTAGATGGAAGAGATTCAGATAAACTGTTTCCCTGTTGCTGTAGTTGAGCCACCTCTGGACTAATGGTACTGTTTGCAGAGTACTCTATTGGATAGAAGGAAACAACTTTTTATCAATGGACCTCGATACAATGTATTTTTAATAATGAGTTTAGAAGTCTTGGCTAATTATTCCCCTCCCCCACCCCCCACTTTTTTTGAGACAAGAGTCTTGCTCTGTTGCCTAGGCTGGGGTGAAGTGGTGTGATCTCAGCTCACTACAAACTCTGCCTCCCTAGTTCAAGTGAGTCTCCTACCTCAGACTCCCAAGTAGTTGGGACTATAGGCACACGCCACCATGCCCAACTAATTTTTATATTTGTAGTAGAGACCGGGTTTTGCCATGTTTGCCAGGCTAGTCTCAATTTCCTGACCTCAAGTGTTCTACTCACCTTGGCTTCCCAAAGTGCTGGAATTACAGGCGTGAGCCACTGTGCTCGGCCTTATTTTCCTTTTTACACTGAGAATTGTACATTTTCTGAGTAATACCCTTACATTATTTTCACAATTTTACTTAACAGTTTTCTTGAGATAGTTCTGTGTCTGTTTGAAATTATTACAAGATTTTTATTTTTGGAGACAGAGTTTCACTCTTGA